CCAATTTGACTTCGTCTTCCATCGTCCGTACTGGCGCGCTAGCAGGATGTCGAAAGGTTTGATCGAATTCCGGTGCTGCCGAGATCGATTCCGATCGAGGGCAAATTTTGTCTTATTCACGAATTGCCTTGAGGAAGGAATTTGCCGCACATTGCCTTAGGCCAGAATTGCTCTCAATCGGTGGAACGTCGAACTCAGAACCGATAAGCCTTGATAGAGGTAACTCACCCTTCTTCCTTCTGAAATTGATAAATCAGTATCGCTCTGTGAGAAGGAAACAAGAGACTGCACTCTGTGCTTGCCACATGGCTGTAGACTATGCCTTTAAAATAATCCATTCCTGGCTGAACGACGGTCAGCATCGCACCAACAACTTAATTGAAAAGAACGGCACCAAATTAGCCAATTTATGAAAGTGAAGAAAGACCGACATTCCAGCAGGGGACAATCTTTCCCTCCTTCCAGCATTCGCACGTTCCAGTAGGTGACCATAAGTTTCTACTTACGGTTTCTATAGTTGGAGTTCTGTGGTTAAGAACTGTTGGGACAAACTCTCAAATCAACCTGTGGATGTAAACCTCTCCTTGCACATGAGTCATAAATAGCGTGAAGTGCAGCGAAATTATGAAGTCGTGGCTCACTACTACGAATAATATCTGGACTCAAAGGCTGAATGTAAAGATGACTCATGAGCAATAAGGCAAGCTAAATAAACGTTCATGAAAAAATAAAAAATGAAACTCCATCCCATTACGATATTACAGAGTGGTCGCAGTCACTGATGATAACAGCGTTATTGCAGAAATGTTTTATAGTTTGATGGTCAAGGTGCCGAAAATCTCGTGTATTAATCGTATCCCAAAAATCTACATGTATGCGTTCATCTATTTTAGCAAATTAAGTATTTTTCACACCACATAAAATCAGTTTAAATCATTTGCCCTTAACTGATCTTCCTTTATAAAACCAGTAGGGACTAAAGCAGCGTGCAGTAAACGTGACTGAACCAATTACAAAAAATGATTTTCATTTAATGAAATATATTATTTATTATTATTATACTATTATTATTTATTCTCCAGATTGAGAAGTCACAGCTGCGATGGCTTGGGCATGTGTTGCGAACGCCTCCAGAAAGGAAGGC